AATGGTGTAGAGATATAAGCAAAAAAATAGTTGAAGATTTTATTAAATATCTTTATTCAAAAAAAACTAAATTGGAATTAGAAGTATTTAAACAAAATGCAAGAAATATAAAGAAGAAGATAATGGTAAAATAATATTTATTGAATTAACAAATCATAGATGTTTTAAATATAATAATTAAAGAAAATGAGAGATTGTAAATAATAAATTTATTCTTTATGATGAAAAAGGAAATTTAATTGGTTTTTCTAGAAATAGAGAAAATTCAAAAAGATGAGAACAATCAGATTGAGATTATATTTATTTACAAAAGAATAAATTAAAAGAAGATAGTTCATTAATTGAATATAAAGAAGTTGAATTAAAACAAGTATTTGATGAAGACACAACTTCTTATATTAAGAAATTTGTTGCTAATATGAAATTAATTGGTGTTGAAGTACCAAAACTACAATTTAAATATTATGTAATATATAAACATGAAGTTAAAGAAGTTTGAAAAAGAATAGTATTAATAGATAAGTTTAATCCAAAAAAACATAAAATAGATAAATTTTATTATTTAAAAGGTATTATTAAATTTTTAGCTGTTTGTTTAAGATATAATGAAAAGGAAACAACAAATTGGATTGTTAGTATAATCAATAAAAATATAAATAAAACTATTAATGAATGTGATACTATAAAAAAGAAAGACAGAAAAAGAAAATCAAAGGAATATGATATTTTAGTTCCTAGAAAACAATTAAAAATATTAAATTTTTTTAGTAGAAATAATAATAATAATAATAATAATAATAATAATAATAATAATAATGATCCCTTTATTGATTAAAAATATTATTCATACTAGTATCAACTATTATATAATTTAATAAACTACCATTATCATTTAATAAATTACTATTAGTTAAATCTAATAAATTTAATAAATCTAAATAATCACTTATTGATTTAGAAAGCTTATTATGTATTAAATATTTATTAATATCTCTATTAATATTATTTATATGATTTGTGACTGTATTATGTTTTTGGATTATAATATCTTTTATTACAAATTCAGTAATATTATTTTTTAAATTATAAACACTAACTATAGCTGCATGAGCACTTTTTATTTTTTCTACTTCTTTTGTAATTAAAAATAGATGTAGTTGGGTTTGAATTATTATTAATTTCTTCAATATTTTTTTTAATATTTTATTTTCTTCTTCTAATTTATTATTTTTAGATATCAATTCATTAATATTAGATTTTAAATTAGATATTTCATTTTCTTTATTTTTTAATGATTCTATGATAATTTTTTTAATATCAGCAATTTCATTATTAGTATTATTTTTATTTGTTTTTGTTTTATTATCAGATTTACCTTAAATTAAAATATATTAATTTATGATAGATATTATAAATATATTAAATTATTTATATATATACTATTTTATTAATAAGTTAATAATTAGTAATATTATTACTAAAATAATAATAATGCAAATATTAATTATTTACTGTTT